TCGTCTTCCACGAAAACCTCCTGAATTAAATCCTGTAAAATTATTATTACAATAATTCATAAACAAAAAATATCTTTAAATATGTAAAAATTATTAAATAAAACGTTATCTTATATAATAAAAAATATGCACCTCTTCCCATCATCATATCATTACCAAAAAACATTTCAAATAGTTCTTCCGGAGTTATTTCATCAGCAAAGACCATTCCATTCGAAAAACCTTTAAATCTGAATTCCTGATTAGGTAAATTGGTGCCTCTCGAGTCGGGATCGGCACCATATTCATCAAATATTTTTCGTTTTTGGGGGTCATTCAGCACTTGAAAGGCTTTGCTAACCACTAAAATCAAATTTGATTAATATTTATGTTTAAGAATATAATGCTAAAAAAATTTGAAACAGACTTTTGAAGGCTTCATCAGCTCCCGGGGCACCGTTCTTGTCAGGATGCATCAACAAGGCCAACTAAATCCACAATCACAAAGGTGGAACAATTATCTTTTTGAATTCGGCAATGGAACATGATCTTGATTTTGTGAGACAAAAAATGAGGAAAATGGGCCATTGCGGTTTGAATAATAAATGAATTACCGTTGGGCCAAATAGCCAACCTTTTTATATGCCTTTTTTATATCAGCGTCACTAGCATCTTTGTCCAAACCAAGCACTTTATAATATTCATGTGCACCACAATTCTTGATTCTTTTTACTGCCTCTAACTGCTCTGAACTATAATCTCGGGGCTGTCTTCCTTGAATGTGCTCTCTTGATGACGAAAAAGATGATGTTGGCGCTTCAGTTTCGCCTAACTCTGAAAAGCTGGTGGTCTCCAGCGTTTTTAGTAATGCTTTTGCATCTGGTGTAGGATATAAGGATATAGACTTTTTTGTGAATTTCAGAGCTGAATTCAAATTACCCGAAGATAGATGATCTTTAGCAATTTGAAGACAACGAATCGCTTCGTCCTTATTAACTTCCATCAATAAAATTATAGTACGTATTTCTAATCACCGTTACAAATATTTTCTATTTAAAGTAGAATAAACCAATAAGAGTATAAATTTTCAGAGG